AGCGGGAGGAGGAGCAGGAAAGGGAGCTGGAGGAGGAGCAGGAGGGGGTGCAGGAGGGGGAGAGGGAGGGGGAGCGAGCAGGGGCAGGGGAGAAGCGGGACGGGTGGGCGGCAAGGCCTGAATCCTAGGCCCCAGGCCCGTGGGGACAGCCGCCCGCAGGGAACCCCAGTGCCCCTCCAGCCCCCACGGGGCGCCTCGTTGCTCCCGGAGGCAGCCCGCGGGCGCTGCTCTGGGGATGCGCTCCGATGGGCTCTGCGGGGCCGCTCTGGCCCCGGAGGCTGAGCTCTGGCTCCGCTCCCATCCAGCTCCCCCCCCTCCAGCCGCCGGTCGGACCCGGAGGGGTGGCCCGGGGTCAGGGGGGGTGGGGGGTGGGGGTGGGGGTGGGGGGGTGGCCCAGGACCAGGGGTGATGGGTGGCCCAGGGCCAGGGTGGGGGGAGGAGCAGGCAGCCCGGCCTTCCCTCCGGACTCTCAGGCGGGGCGGCCGCGGGGACCCGGCGCCCAGGGTCTCGGCCTCTCCCCTCTCTGAGCTGAGGGTCGGGTCCAGCCCCAGGTCCGGACGGACCGGGAAGGTTCCGGCGAAAGTTACCTGCGGGTTCCGCGGTCAGCCCGGCGGCACCCCGGCTGCCAACCGCCGACGCGGTCTGGGCTCCCACAGGGACGCGCCGGGGTGCGGGGCTGGGTTAGGGTTAGGGGCGCGGGGCTCAGGGACCCCGAGCCCGGACCTGCGGAGCGGGGGGGCCGGGGCGGAGGGGGCGGAGGAAAAGGGGGGTGGGGCCCCCCCGGAACGCACCCACCGGACCCCCCAAACCCGCTCCGCGCTCAGCGGCTCCCGGTCCCCACGCGCCGAGGCCCGGGTGCGGGGCGCGGTGTTTGTGGGGCGCAGGAGGCTCCCGCTTTTGGGGCGCGGAGCTGACCTCGCAGCTGGGTCCCGGGACCCGCGGGCGAGCGGGCGGACGGAGGCGGTGGGCCCAGCCCCCGGGCCTTTGGGGCTGCGGGAGGCCGCTGGGCGCTCAGGCAGGCGGTCAGCTGCGGGGTCTGTAGCCGCGGGGAGCGGGGAGCGGGCGCTCGGGGGATGGGGACGGAGCCTGAGCCGCAGCTTCCAGGCCCCCCTCGCTCCCGGCCCGGAGCCCGCACCCCTCCTCCCACCGCAGCTGGAGCCTGAGTCACCGGCTGCCTCTCCTCTCCCGGAGACAAAGAGCTCGGGCTCTCTCCACAGGACCCCCAGCCTGGGGGCAGGAGAGGGCAGCAGCTGGCTGGCTGAGACCTGGGAAATGCCAGTTATTCAGTGACCCCCCCCCCCCAGGTACCCACCCGTGTGCCAGGCAACGGGGTGTGGACATGAGCAGCCCAGCCTCCCGGCTGCCCACCTGGCCCGTGGTCTCCCTCCACAGCAGAGCGCTGCCTGCGACTCCTCTGCTCGCCGCCCCCCAGCCTGTGTCACCAAGAGTCGCCCATTGATCCAGCTTAAAATAACCCGGGCATCTGCAGGCGTCTCTGAGCCGGAAGGGCACCTGCCCCGCCCCCCAGCTGCAGCTGAGTGTGCGGGGTCTGTGTGCTCCTGGGTGTGAGTGTGCGGGGTCTGTGTGCTCCTGGGTGTGAGTGTGGGGTCTGTGTGCTCCTGGGTGTGAGTGTGCGGGGTCTGTGTGCTCCTGGGTGTGAGTGTGCGGGGTCTGTGTGCTCCTGGGTGTGAGTGTGGGGTCTGTGTGCTCCTGGGTGTGAGTGTGCGGGGTCTGTGTGCTCCTGGGTGTGAGTGTGAGGTCTGTGTGCTCCTGGGTGTGAGTGTGCGGGGTCTGTGTGCTCCTGGGTGTGAGTGTGCGGGGTCTGTGTGCTCCTGGGTGTGTGTGGGGTCTGTGTGCTCCTGGGTGTGTGTGTGCAGGGTCTGTGTGCTCCTGGGTGTGAGTGTGCGGGGTCTGTGTGCTCCTGGGTGTGAGTGTGCGGGGTCTGTGTGCTCCTGGGTGTGAGTGTGCGGTCTGTGTGCTCACGGGTGTGAGTGAGTGTGTCTGTCCGGGGCCAGCATGACTATGGTGGCCTTCCCTGCACCAGGCACGTGTGTATACGTGTGTGTCCGTGTGGACGCACCTGTAAAAGCATGTTCTTTCCTTGCTGCTGAGCCCTCACTTGGTGCCCGGCTGTGGCTGTGTCCGGCTCAGGGAGAGCCTCCTGCCCCTCAGTGTCCCCACTTTCGATGGGAGGGCCGGTCTGGGCAGCCCTGGGCCCGGGGAGACCCAGAGAGGGAGGTGACCGCTGTGCCTGCACAGAGCCGGGACGGGCTGGGTCTGCCAGGGGAGCCCAGACCAAAACAAAGTGAAGCTGGAGGCCCTGGCCCAGCATTGCTCCCACCCCCGACAGCACACCCACCCCTGGCCAACCACTGACCCGCCTGAGGCACCCCGACGCCTGCATGGGCCCCCCACCTGCCCACGGGTCTCCCCCTCGATGCCCCGCCACCCCACACGGAGAGCTCCTGCTTCTCGTTTCGGAACCCGATAACATCCATGCACTCTCTGCTCTAACGGCCATCCGGCCTTCCTCGGCCTCCGTGTTCTCTCAGCAGATGGGCTGCCGGCACCGGGGGGACAGGGTGCGGGAGAAGCGCAGACACAGGCAGCCCGTGGGCCCTGACGGCTGGTGAGAGGCTGGTGAGAGGCTGGTGACAGCCGCTGAGGGGCCATCGCGGCCCAAAGCCCCGGCTCCGGGCACTGGGCTCCCATGTGGCTGTGGCGCCTCTGGCTGCTGGCTACCACTGAACCAGGCCGAGCTGCGGGGGAAGCGAGGATGTGGAGGAGCTGGAGGTTGGACATCAGTCCCTGGGGCGTGGGGACTGGGATCTGCTTCTTTGTGGGGCCAGTGGAGAGGGGCTCTGGGCCTGGCAGTCACCCTACCTTGGAGAGGCCACAGTCCCAGGAGGCAGACACAGGCCTCTTTATTTATTAATTTTTAAAAATATATTTTATTGATTTTTTACAGAGAGGAAGAGAGAGGGATAGAGTTAGAAACATCAATGAGCGAGAAACATCGATCAGCTGCCTCCTGCACACCCCCCACTGGGAATGTGCCCACTACCAAGGTACATGCCCTTGACTGGAATCGAACCTGGGACCCTTCAGTTTGCAGGGTGATGCTCTAACCACTGAACCACACCAGTTAGGGTGAGACAAGCCTCTTTAAACCTCGTGCCCAGCAGGAGGGCGGGGAGCGGCCACCTTCGGAGCCCGGTGACGCGGGGGGCGGCTTGGCAGGCGCGTGGGGGCACTGATGCCGCCTCGGAGCCTATTTCTAGGAACGCTCCCCTAGGAGCAGAAAGGGACAATCAGCAAATATAGCTGCGGAGCTCCAAACAGAACAACGGGAAGTTTGACGTCGGAAAGTGAAGTAAGTGAAGGGAGCCAGATACATGGCCCCTGAAGATTTACCATCTTCAACAGCAAAGGCAGGCTAAAAACCGGTTTCAGATGGTGTGTGAGGTGAGCTGTCCCTGGTGATGGGACGAAGGCGATTTCATTGTACCCCTTTGGCGTTTATTTTCTTTTGGTAACAGTTTTCACGGACCGGGTCATGGGGCGGATGGAGGAGGCTGTGCTGGTGTGTGGGAGGGGGGAGGCGGCCATTGGCCATGGCACAGGCACCTGGAGGGGGTGTTGCAGGAGGTCACCCGTTTCCTGTCTCAGCCCATAAACCCCGAAATTAGTCCGCCAGCCCTTCGTCTCAGCCTCAGGACGTGATCCTGCTTAACATGTAAATCCTCCTCCCTCCTCTCCCACCGCCTCCCTTTTTATAAGCTGATCCCGGTGGCTGGTGAAGCGAGGATGCAAAGGGGAGCGGACCCTCTGAGCCCAAAGTCTGCATGTTATAGACACCAGAGACCAGAGTCACTTCATTCCTTCATTCATTCCTTCATTCATTCTGCGGATCTGGGGAGGCTGTGCTTTGTGGAGACACGGGTAGAACTGAACCCACTCCCCATTCCCATGTGGACACACTGACCCCGCCTCTTGGAGCGGGCGCATGAGGAATCTGCCCCCACGAAGTGTGTTTTGTTTGCTTGCTTGTTTTTTAACGTTAAGATGAGAAACAGAGGCAGCGGGAAGCACAGAGCTGCCGGTTGGTCACACTCTCCAGCTCCCGCCGCCCGCCTGGCCCCGGGCTGTGGCGGGGCTGAGGCCGCAGTGCCGGGCAGAGGGGCCCCGGTGGCCTCGCCCCCTTCTCCGATGGCGGGGCTGTGGGTGCGGGGCAGCCCGGACCCCAACCCGCGTCCGGGAGGCCCTGGGACCGGGGCCGAGCCCCCAGTTCGGGCTGCGCCCGGCGGCGCGGGGGGCCGTGCTCGGTCCTGGGGTCCCTCCCTCCGGCCGGGCGGGAAGGCGGAGCGGAGCGGGGGGAGGACCTGCCCGGCCTCACCTCTCGGCCCGGAGCGGAGCGGACGGAGGGCCGGGAGCGAGGGGAGGGTGGGGCGCGATGGCCGCGCTCCCGCGCTGCTCGTCCTCTCGCCCGGCAGCGACAGTCCCGGATGCGAGGGGCGGTTTGGGGGTCCCGGGGGGCACCGGCCCGCGGGCCCCGCGCCCCTCCCGCCCGGCGGCGCCGCGCTCCTCCCCGGATCCGCCCGCTCCTTCCCGCCTCCTTCCCGCTCCCTCCGCCCCCGCCCGCCGCCCGGAGCCCGAGCGGAGCCGCAGCCGGAGCCGCAGCCGGAGCCGCAGCCGGAGCGCGGGCAGCGGAGCGGCGGGAAGGCGCTGCCAGCCAGACCCGCTCCCGCTCTAGGCGGAGGCCGGGCCGCGCAGGGGACACCCCCCTCCCGGCCCGGGGCGCCGGGGCGCGGACTGAGCGGCTCGGGTCCGAGGGGAGCCCGGGCGGAGGACGCTCACCGGCCGGGGAGCAGGCGGAGCCCCCGGGCCGCGCTTCTCGGCGGCGCCGGACGGTCGGGGAGGCAGCGCGGGCGCAGCGCCCGGAGCCCCCGCCCTCCCGCCCTCCGCGGGGCCATGCGGGGGGCGCTGTAGCGGAGGCGCCGATGGCGCGGGCCGGGCTGCGGCTGGCGCTCGGGCTGGGGCTGCTGGCGGGGCCGCCGTCGGGCCGCGCGGGGGCCCCGGAGGCGGCGGAGCCCGCGGCGCCCGGCACGGCGGCGCCGGCGCGGGGAGACCGCTGCCGCGGCTACTACGACGTGATGGGCCAGTGGGACCCGCCCTTCAACTGCAGCTCCGGCGCCTACAGCTTCTGCTGCGGCACGTGCGGCTACCGCTTCTGCTGCCACGACGGCCCGCGGCGCCTGGACCAGAGCCGCTGCTCCAACTACGACACGCCCGCCTGGGTGCAGACCGGCCGGCCGCCCGCGCGCGCCCGCGACGCCGCCGCCGCGCACCGCGACCCGGGCCGCGAGCGCAGCCACACGGCCGTGTCCGCGGTCTGCGGCGTCGCGGCGCTGCTCGTGCTGGCGGGCGTGGCGCTGCGCCTGGGCCTGGAGCGGGCGCGCAGCCCCCGCGCGCGGCGCCCGGTGACCAGGTGAGGCCCGCCGCCCCCGCCCCCCCCCCCCCCGGCGGCCCTCCTGCCCGAGGCCCTCCTGGCCGGGGCCCTCCTGCCCGCGCCCCCCCCCCCCCCCGCTCCCCGCCGGCGGCCCTCCTGCCCGGGGCCCTCCTGCCCCGCGGCCCTCCTGCCCCGCGGCCCTCCCCACCCCCTCAGCCTTCCTGCCCGCCCCGCCCCGCCCTGCCTGCCCGGGGCGCCCTCACCCCCCAACTCTGCTCCTCTTCCTTCAGGACCTCCCTCCCTGTCCCTGTCTCTGTCTCTGTCTCTGTCTCTGTCTCTGTCTCTGTCTCTGTCTCTGTCTCCAAGATGTTTCCCTTCACACCCTCCCTCGCCCTCCTTTCACGGAGGGAGACAGCTGATACCGAGTCTCCCCTTGACCTTCCGGGAAGCTGGCTGCCTTCAGAGGGCACCATGTCTGCACCCAGGGGAGGAGGTCTGGGGTCTGGGTCCCATCAGCGGGTGTGGGGGCGTGGCTGGTGTGTGGGTGTTTTGGGCCGGGGTGGGGGGAATGGAGGGGGGAGGGCTGTTCTGTAGCTCCCTGGGCTCTCGCCCTCCAGCTTCTCCCCTCACGTTTCCCTCCCTCCTTCCACCTCCTTCCCTGCTCCCCCTAACTGTGACTCAGGCCTGACCTTTCCCTGGGGTTTCAGAAGCCTCCCCCCCCCCCCACTCACCCCACTCAGTACCCACAGGCGAGGGTTCCCGGTGCGGAAAGGGGCTGGCCGCAGAGGCCCGGACCAGTGCTGAGTCCTGAGCTCTGTGCCAAGGGGGGTGTACGGCCCAGGGTCCCGTCCTCACTCAGGGACTTGGGGATTCTATCCTGGAGCCCACACCCCACCCCACACCCACACCCCCCCAGCCACCGTCTCGTTGGGTCCTTGGCCCTCCTCGCTCACCCAGGGCCTGTCTCCGTGGGAGAGTGGGCTGCGGGCACTGCGGGCGGCAGGCTGGCATTTAGAAGTGACGACAGAGAGAGGCCCCTGCGCCTGGGAGGGCCCGCAGGGGATGCTGCTCTCTACGAGGCCTCAGGGGCAGGGGAGAGCGCTTTGGGGCACTCCACTGTACCCCGACTCCAGACCACGGAGCCCACGCCTCCCAGCTGGCTGCAGGGCTGGCTGGGACCCTGGCTGCCGTGCCTGTGCTGCCGTGGGGGCTCTCAGCCTGGGTCCTGGTGCTGCGGGCGGAGGGCCTGGGCCTCCGGAGCTGGGAGTCCCTCGGGCTGGGTGAGGGGGGAGATGGAGCAGGTCCGGGACCAGAGGGGCAGCAGGAACGGAGGCTGCGGTGGTATAGGTGGGAGGTTCACCTTGAACTTCCTCCATCCGGGAAGCGGGTCCGGTGGGACCTCAGGAGGAGCCGCCCCCCCCCCGCCCCCCAACGTGCGCTGTGGGGGGAGGGCGGGGGCTGCAGGCCCCGTGTGCCCCGACTCCCTTTCTCCTCGGGGAGACTGGAACCCAACTTGAGCTCAGGGGTGTGTGTGCGTGAACCCCTGTGCTCCCTCCCAAGCCTCACCCGAATCCTGCCTGTGGACACTGACGGGGTCAGGGAAGGCTGGGCCGAGGGCTGGGAGGGAGTGGAGTCGGTCCCTAGAGAAAGTTCGTGCGGAGCCCAGAGGCACAGGAACTGCTCGGGTGTTGGGAGAGCCGCTGAGGGTGTTTGTGGAGATGAGAGAACACAGGGGTGGGCAGCCGAGGCGTGGGCGGGCATGGAGGTCAGCTCCGGTGGGCACCAGGCTTTCAGGCCCGCCGTGCTGCAGCCAAGCTGCCCTGCCCCAGGTGCCCACCCCGTGTGCTTCTTCATGAACCAGCCCCTTGAGGCCCGACCCCAGAAGGAGGTCAGACGGAGCGGGGAGAAAATCATGGGCGTGGAGCAGCTGGGCTGAAGGCTGGGTCTGGCTGTCTGCTGGGAAGGCTGTTAGACGCTGTCACAGCTGGGGGGCGGGGGGGGGGCTGGATGCCTTGGTACCCAGGGAGGCACTACTCAAGGTCACAGAGCGGCCACAGGGGCACCGGACCCCTTCCCTCTCTCTGTCCTCCACGCCGGGGCTGGTGGGAGCTGGCCTCGGACAGGGCAGGGCCTGGCGATGGGGAAGCGGAGGCTGGAGGCCTGTGCGCCCCTCAGCTCCTCCTCCCTCTCCTCACAGGACGCTGACGGAGCTTCTGAAGCAGCCAGGCCCCCAGGAGCCACTGCCCCCGCCTCTGGGCCCCCCTCTGGGCAGCTGTGTCCAAGTGCAGATGGGCGATGGCCTCCCCCGGGGCTCCCCCGACAACAGCGCCGGTGAGTGGCTGGGGGCGGGCGCTGGCTGATGGACAGCACGGCCTCCCTGTCTGATAGGGGCCTGGGCGCCGGGGAAGGGGCCTGGGCGCCGGGGAAGGGGCCTGGGGGCCGGGGAAGGGGCCTGGGCGCCGGGGAAGGGGTGCCCAGAGGAATGGCTCTGAGCAGACTGTTTCCCCATGGAAATGAGCTGCGGCCTCTGCGGGTGTGTGAGTGGGGGCCGGGCACACTGCTCAGCTCTCCTGGGGGAGAACCCCCCGCAGGGGTCCTGCAGCCTCCAGCCTCAGGACTCCGTGAGGAAGGTTCCCGACTGATTCCGGGATCCCTGGCTCAGCGGTGGCTCCAGGCTCAGCGCCAGGGGGCTGCCTGGCCCGGGTCTGTGGGCCCCGCAGCCTTTCCTTGCAGCTGAAGCTTCCCTCTTGGCCGCTTATTGCAGAGTCAGGCTTGACTGCACCCCTTCTCCCCCTCCCCACTCCCTCCTCTGTGGGTTCTAATCCTCAAACACCCCCTCCATCGCCACAGGCACCAGGAGCAGGTCCGGGGGGCTCTGCCTGGCTCAAGCTGAACATGCTGGCGGGTCACCCATTAGATTAGCACCCACTCAGGACTGGCTGTTACTATATGTCACGATACGCCTGTTACTATAACATATTACTACACGTTGCTATGCATGTTACTATAACATGTTACTATGTGTTGCTCTGCATGTTACTATAAGCCAGACCCTCTCCCGGGCGCTGGAGATGCTGCCGCGAAGAGAGGTTCCACTTTGTCCCAAATAGCCATCCGGCCGAACTGCCCGCTGACCTGCCGCCGGGAGGGGCGTGGGAGGCGGCGGGCGGGAGGTGTCCGGGCCGCGGCTGAGTCCCACTGCCCCTCCCCTCCCCTCCCCCCCTCCCCCCCTCCCCTCCGCTTAGACAAGAGCCGCCAGGACCACGCGGCCCTGGGGGCGGCCACTCCGGGGCCCCGGCGCGGCCCGCGGCCGCAGGGCAGCCTGGCACCGCAGCCGGACTACGCCAAGTTCGCCGCCCTTCAGGCCGCCTTCACGGCCTCAGGTGAGTGGGAGTCCGGGCGCGGGTCCCCGCTGCGTGGCCTCGGCCTCGGTCCCGGCCCTGACGGCTGCGCCCCTGCGGCTCGCGCCCCGGGGTGGGGTGGGGGGGGGGAGAGCCGCACCTGCCGGCCTCCCGGCCCCGCCCCGCCAACCCCGCCCCGCCCGCCCTGTCCCGCAGAGGCCGCCCCGGACTTCTACCCGCGCCGCCCGGCGCCCGCCCCGCTCACCCTGCCCGCGCGGCCCCCGCGGGCCCCGGAGGACTGGTCCGCGCTGCTCGACGCCTGCCCCTGGGCGCCGCCCGGCTACGCGCCCCCCGCCGGCCCCGGCCCGGGGGGCCCCTGCAAGGCCTGGACCACTGGCCGCCCGGCCCGGCCGGCCCCCCGCGGCCCCCCGCGGGCTCAGGCCGCCCCCGCCCCCCGGCGGCCGGGCCACCCCCGGCGCGTGGAGAAGCTGCCCAAGGCCTTCCGCCCGCCCCCCGGCCCGTACAGCTGCGCGGGCCGCGGACACCTGAGCACCAACAGCAAAGCGGAGGTCACCGTGTGAAGCCCGGGCTGCCGGTTCTCCCGAAGCATTCCCTCCACCAAGGATCCGCCGTCAGCCTCGTGGGGGCGGGGAGGGGTCACGGGGGCTAGGGGCGCCCTCCCCCTGCCCAGACTGGACCAGGGGCCCTGGAGCCTGCGGGGCTGAGAAGGGGCTTGTCCGGGGTCCTAGGGCCCGGGTTCCTCATGTAAATAACCCTTTTCTGTGGCTCCTCCCTGAGAATAAAGGAGCCCAGTATGGCTCAGAGGCGCTGATGGCAGGTACTGGTCAGACTGGACAGCCGGCAGTGCAGGCAGAGGGCACAGCATATGCAAGAGCAGAGGACAGTTCCCCAGAACTATTGGGGGGCGGGGGCGTGTTCTGGGAGCTGGGAGAAGTGGCTGGAGGGGGTGGTAAGGGCTGAATGTCCACACCAGCGGACCATGGGAGAGGAGTTAGGCCTTAGCCATCCTGAGGCTCCTGCAGAGGTGAGGGTTGGAGGGCTATGTCCCTTACTGCCGGCGAGCACCCCCTCCCACAGATCGCCCACTTTACAGCCCGAGTTGGCCGAGCAGGCTGATCTCCATTGACATCGCCTGGCGCTGGGCCGGCTCCTGCCTGCAGGCCACTTGGTCAGCTTGGCCCAGAGCCACCCCCCTAATGGGCGTGGGCAGTGAGCCCGGTGGCCAGCTGGTGCTCGGGGTGGCAGTCTCCGCCCAGTAGCTGCTCTGGAGAGAAAGGGGATGGTGATGCTACACCCTGAGCCTTGGCAGTGCCCCCACAGGGGTGCTCACACCACACATGCTTGGCACTGCCAGCTCTCTCCTTTCCTGCCAGGCAGGCTCCAGTACCTGGCTGTGGCCCAGGGCAGGGCCAGCAGCCTGAGTGTGTCAACTTTCTGTGACTGGGGAGGCTGAGGGTTGGGCTGTGCCCCTTGTGTGACCTCAACAAAGCCACCCAGTTGGGCCTTTGCCCCCTGTGTACCCTAGGCATGGTAAACCGTTTTAATAAACATAGCCACCATTTGTTGCTTTCTTCTATTTAAATCTCACAGAAGCTCCGTGGGTATATGGCTTTACAAATAAGGAAACTGAGGTTTTGAGACCTAAGCTTGCCACGGTCCCCCCGCTGACTCCAGTGTCTGTCTCCTCCATAGTCTCTGCCTGTGACCCCGATGGCATGGCTGCAGTGGGCGGTGGGGGGAAGGCTGTGAGCATGTGGGCTGGTAGAGGGCCCCAGGGCGCAGGCAGTCTCAGACCTTCTTCCCACCAGCCGGGCTGCCGCAGGATGTCCACCTCAGTGTGAAGGCAGTTGAGGAAACCGAGGCCCAGAAGCCCCAAGAGCAGAGCAGAACCTAGAGCCCATGTCCTACCTGCTGGGAGGGCCCCAATGGTTTACTGGGGAGACGGCCTCACATCCTCAACCCAGAGTGGGGGTGGGGTGCTCCAGGCCTCTCCTGAGCTGTGAGGAGCCCGGGGAGTGGGTGGGTACTGAGGGGTGTAGCCAGCCCAGAATCACAGAAAAGGATCAGGTTCCTGGGCACATCGGCCACCCACGCTCACCCACCTGGTGACAGGCCCTGGCTGTGCTGTGCTGGGGAGATGGCCTCTACCTCTCCTTCGAGGTCCTGAGGACCCTGGGCCTCCACCCCTTTGCTGCTTTAAGAGCTGTGGACGGGCCAGCTGCAGCGGGGCCACTCCTGCCTTTGGGACAGTGTGGAGGCTGTGACTGCTCCAGAGAAGGCCGTGGCTGAGAGAGCTGAGGGCCTGGGCCCATTCCTCAGCCAGGACGGTGACCATGAACTTCAGGCCCCGGGCTCATTACCACACAGCACTCCATCTCCTGCCCCATCGCTCCTGTGGCCTGGCCCGCCAGCCTCACAAGGCACCGGCCATAAACTGGCACCTCCCAACCAGCTGACAAACCTGTGGGAACTGTGGCCGAAGGCAGGGGCTGTCACCCCATTCTGCACACATGGCAGCAGAGGCTGAGGCCACCCTAGTGACCAGCCGGGAACAGAGGAGCTGGACGTGGATGTGACTGTGGGCCCAAGTCTCCTCTGTCTCCCTGCCCCCAGGGAGGATGGAAAACTGGGCAGCCACCCAATAAGGGAGAGATGGATCCGAGAGGGTGAACACCCCAAGCCCCCAAGAACTGCTGCCAGCCAACCAGCCAGCTCTGTCCTGGAGGCAATGAGCAGGCCCTGTCCTGGCATGGTGTGTGCCAGGTGGCCAGCACCGGGAGGGCAGGCACACGGGAGGGAGGGAAGCTCAGCACAGGGGAGGGGGCGTCATCAGTGCCTGGCCCTCTGGAGGCCAAGCCATGCAGCTACCTGGCTGTCACCACAGTGGTCACACTACAGACCCTCACACACCTCGCTGGGTGGTACCATCTGTGTTTATTGAGTCACCTACATCCAGGACATGGTGCATGTTCCACATCAAGGCTGCCATGGGTGTATCCCCCCTTTCAGTGAAAAACCACGCCCTCCCACCCTCAACAATACGAAAAGGCACAGTATATACACGTGACACGGTGGGCTCACCCCGTGGCCAGCGGCCATACATTACAGTGGGAGGGGAGGGGAGGGCAAGAGAAAGGAAGTGGGCCAGGGCCAGGCTGACCTGCTCTGACCTGCACTTACATCAGGGGAGCCCCCACCGTGCGCATGTCCCAACCTGTGCTGGGCCCCTGCCCACACTCTGACCCAACCAGCCTGAGGGGCTGAGAAGCACAGGGAGGGAGGGAGGCAGGACAGCCCCTCTCTGTCCCAGCGGGCTCTGGGTACCCAGCAGTCCTCAGGCCCCGAAGAATCACCTCAGGGGAGGCACCAAGCCAGGGAACCAGAAAGGTGGGACCACTTTTCCTCCCAGGACCCCCATCAAGGCAGGGCCTCATTCCTGGTGCCCATCCCCAAAGGGGCCTGTCATTGAGGCTGGTCCCTGCCACCCTGGCTTATTTTCAGGTGAGGAATTAGGGAGGAGCGGGTGGGAGGGAAGACCCCGTCCCGTCCCAATGACTGGCTTCGTCTCTCCGGTCCCTGGGCCGACCCCTCCAGGGGGTGGGGACGTGGGAAGGAACAGGACAATTAAATAAGATACCATTTATTTAAAAAAAAATTAAAAAATAATGCCGACATTATTTCATCCACCCCAGGCTTGTCCCTGCTTCCCCACCGCCTCCCACGGCTGGGCTCCCCAGCCCTGGCTGTCCTGTGGATTGAGGAGAAAACAACGAACTGGCTTTGTCAGGCACCGGGCAGGGAACGCAGACCAGGGAGAGAAATAAAGATGCCACAGCAACTTAGTCCTGCATCACGGCAAACCCAAGCACACGGATACAAAAACATTCGTATAAAAGGGGAGAGTGCGTGCTGGGCACAGTGCCAGGGTGAAGTGCTCTGGTGCCCAGACACCCGTGTCCCCCGAGGGAAAGCCTGATAAAAAACAAGCAGGGAAGGGAAGAGACGTCCAGAGAGAGAAGCTTGGAGGGCTGCAGGCGGGCTGGGCAGCCTGGAGCTCCCCTTGCTGCTTTCAAGTCAGGGTGCCCCCAACCCTGCCCCCGTCTTCCTCTCAGGGCACGGAGCCTGGGACCATCTGCATCTGCCCCCATCAGCTCTGCAAGCCACTGCTCAGGGGTCCACTGGCCTGAGGTGGTCCAGCAGCCTTGGCAGGTGACAGAGGAGAAGGCTCATCCCCCAGCCCCCAAAGGGGGGCGGGGGGAGGGAGAGAGAGAGAGAGGAGGGAGAAGCAGAGAGGAGAAAGAGGGAGACAGAGAGACAGGAAGGCAGTGGGCCAAGGTGGCAGGGTCCCGTGGTCAGGAGGCGGCGATGGCTGTGCCGCCGCCCAGCTTGACGATCATCTGCTGGCAGTCGCTGGAGGAGCGCCGGTCACCCACCTTCTCCAGGGTGCGGGCCGCCTCGGCCAGAAGCACCGCCCGCTGGCCCGGGGAGGAGAGGAAGGAGAGGGGGAGGTGGCGGCAGGCCAGCAGGATGGCGGTGGCCCGCTCTCGCTGGCCGGGCCAGGCGTCCACCTCTCCTGTGGAAAGAGGGAGATGCTGGCGTGCTCGCTGCGAGCCCGACGTGGACCCTGCCTCAGCCTCGCTCGCCCGGGGAGGCGGTCCCAGTGCCCCCCTGGTTTACAGGGAGGGGAGGCGAACTTGGCTGGCATCACTGGGCTATTGTCATCGGCCCCGAGAAGGAGCCGTGCGCCTGGCTCAGGGCCCATGCTGCCCTCCGGCTCCTGCACTGGGACACCCCAGCCCCCCGGGCCCCCCGTGCCGTTAGGAACCCTCCAAGCACCCCACCGAGTCAGCTTCGGGCTCCCCACTCCGCACACCACTGAGGGCCGCCCAGCTGGCGCCGGACTCACCGTGCTTTGTGCTCTGCGCAGAGCGCCGCCGCAGGCTGTGCTCCAGCAGCTGGTGGGTGCGGGTGGGGCTGGCTCCCGCCATCAGACGCACGGTGGCCTCGTGCAGGAACACCTGGGGAGGCGCAGGGACAGGGAAAACGGGGTCCGCTCCAGTCCGTGCCCAGTAGGTACAGTCAGACCCGGGGCAATTGCGAGCGGATGCTACTCGGAGCTCTCGGCAGCAGAGCCACAGCCCAGTGGCTCAGGAGGAGGAACTGCAGTCTGAGGAGCTGGCACTGCCGCCAGCTGGGAGGCCACAGAGCCGCCCTCGTGTGCTTCCCGCCCCAGCCCGTCTGTGGCCTGTGTGGCCTGCTCACCACACACTCCAGGACCAGCCACACAGCAGATCCTCAACCCTCAGGAGCTGAACAAGAGGACACGGCACCTAAGCCAGTGCCTGACAGGCAGCTGGATGACCCCCAAGGACCGACTCCCTGACCCTACGCTGGTGCTGGGGCCTTGGGGCCCCAATCTGCCCTCCCCCACCAGGCAGCTGGGGCTCACCTTGTGGTAGGCGGGGCAGAAGCTGTGTGCCAGCCTGCGCAGGCTGCCCAGGTCCCGCTGGAAGCCAGCCAGCTCAGCACCGGACGCGTGGTAGATCTCCCCCAGGGCCTG